GCGCGCGCGCACGACAGAGTGACGGTGGCCACGCGTGTGGTGGAAAGAGAGACCCCGTCGGAAGAGAGGAACGAGAGGACGAGAGAAGAGACGGAGGAGAGAGAGGTGAGACTTCTCCTCAGGGGCCTTAGTCGCCGACTGTCCGCTACTACGCGCGGTGTTAACACCACTATCGTCGTCATCGTCCAGCCCTCTCTTTCTCTCCTTCATCGCTTCTACCATCCCTCCCACTCCGCCCTCTCCCTTTCCCTCTCACCTGTTGCGGCGCACCCCTTTGATTCAGTCATTTTCGTGCGCCCCGCTTGAAGATCACACTTCGCAGCGCAGCTACCTTCGCACTACCTCGTTCGGTATCCTTGGAGGAACTATCACGTGTCCTAGAAACAGCCAGGCCACGATCGGATCAGTGAGATCTTCAAAAGAAATCGCAAAGAGAGGACGTCAATCTTTAGAAGAAATCGCGAAGAGAAGACGACTGTTTTGCTTCTGGATATCAAATTAATCATGGATTTCAATCGAAGAAAAGTTTAAACCGTGAGCTTCCATCGGAATGGAAAATTATTAAGAGAATAGTCTCGAGAGGATACCATTTAGAGAGTAGTCTCGAGAAAGAACTTCCTGGATTATCAAGAAATCACGACTGGGTTTCCAGGACTAATGATACATTGTTGGATCGACGGTTGTAATTATTTGAAATTTCTTGGAATTGGTCTGTTTGGATTTATGCCGAGCAGAGTATAAACAACATTGTTATACTCCCGCTATATTTAAGAGGATCTCCGAATTATTTTCAAAAATATATGTATTTCATTCGATATCGTTCTATCATTGAAAGTATCTCTGTAACTATTTTCACGTGAACTATGAAAGATCGACTGTGGTGCAAACTGATGGACGATTTGTGAGAGATAAGCCTGTTCGCAACGTGATAAAAAAAACGAAACATTGCCGATCAATATATCAGTTCCTTTTTTATGAGAAGTTGACTTGTTTGAAGAGTGAGTTTTGAAGAGTGTCAGACAAATGCATGATATGAGTCCCAAGTGAAGTGGAGTGTTGGCTACGAAGTGTACTGGCATTAAACGGTGTTCTCCATCTCATCGTCATCATTGAACGACCGTCGATAAACGGATTCACGCTGCCATCTGCACGAGAGGTGAGATCGTCACGAAACGTGATTTCTTATCAGAAATTTTATCGAATTTACATATCATTAATTTTCTCTTAACCAGATTCTACTTACATAAACAAAAAAGATCGTGGAAGAAATATCAAGTCATTCAAACTGAGAAATGTTCGATTATTTTTATATTCTAGTGTTAAACTTATTTCTCTTATATATATATATACATATATATATATATTAATTAAAAGGATGAACTTCTTAATAACAAATACGTGCTGCATTAAATTATCTCATATTTACACCACAAACAAAACAGACAGGACTGAATTAGAGATGAGAAATGTAGCGTTAATTCATTTAACGAATCTAACGCTTGCAATTACGAGCATTCTGTTACAACTATCTCTACAGTTAATGTCATTAAATTGCAGATGATATCAATATTATTGTTGAGCAAATTTCAATTGTCGTATATTTTTGTTACCCACTAATTATTTCAAATCTAAAATGCCTGTTCAAATTTTACGACGCACTAAGAATGAAAAAAAGAGGAATTTCAACTAATATTATGAAGCGTTTAAACGTTACTCACGTTGCTAAGAGATATCACAAAAGTTCGTCGACTAATTGCTTTGGAACAGAGAGGGTGACGTATGGAACAACGGATATCACTAAAGAGAAATGGGTGTTTGCTTTATCAGGGATCGTTAATGTTTGTCTATATTTATCACTTGAAAATATTTATTAACGTTTCCTCTGTCACGTTGACAATTAAATCGTTCCTTTTGTCCCGTTTGTTTGAACATGCGTCACAAAACTCAGGTATCATCCCCAGGGCCAGGAACAACGGGGCCTGACTGTAAAGCTGTCAGCGAGAATGATAAGCGAGCGTTAACTTTATGTTGTGCGCTCTCTCAACAAAACGTATGTCTGATAAAAATAAACTTTCGAATGATATCATTTACGGAGAACGTGTACCGAGAGCAAGTCTCTCTCGTCTGCGCTCGCGTGCGCGCGTTTAACGAGCGGTAATAAAAAATATCTAATAAGCTACCGCCACAAATAATTAATTCCGGCAATAGCATTAATCGTTGCCATCGAGGCGGCAATTATTTTTAAACGTATTGCCGTTACGCGTTTCATCGTAAAACTCGCTATACTGCCAATGCTTTTTCTACCCAATATCTCATAGCGGCGTAAATCGCCGGTTCTCTCGAAAAGCAAAATGCGCATTTACTGCGTCAGAGATTAAACAGAGCCTATGGAGTATTTGGCTTCAACTAAAAATATTATTCAAAATCCTTTATATGTGTATGAATATAACTACATATACAATATTATTTTAGATCGTTTATGTGAGAACACAATCAATATTAAAATGTCTATAACAGTTGAATCTGGATCTTTAATGCTTAAATAATTCAATCTTGAATTACTAAATATACTGTATATGTACTTGCATATATACCATATTTGTAGTCTTTCGAACTGCGCGTTGAATTCTTTTCCGGACTATATAAACGCAATTAAACTACTGTAGTAAATTCGCGAATTAAATTGACAAGTAATTTCAATAATTTTGATCCTCAATCAGACATCATATTATAAAGATGTTAATATGCTGAAAAACTGTTAAAAAAAATTAAATTTATTGCGAAAAATATTACCTTGGCCGGGAGTCGAACCCGGATTTCTTGTATTCCGTACGAGCGTTCTAAGCCATTAGACTATCGAGGCATAACTACATATTTTTAGTAAGGAAATAACTACAACGTATTAGACTACTATTAGAATATAACTTAAATTAAAATTAAGACAAAAAAATGTCATATATTGATATTATAAATGTAACTTGCTGGCATTGATTTTGTTTATCTCCAATGTCACTTAGAAGGATTTTCTTAATTTATAAGATATAGACATTATAGACATCCGTGAAGTCCTTTGATATTCTGCTCTGAGACTTTCCGCCGTAAGTTATGGCAGACACGTGGGGTATCACATAAATCACGCATGAGTATGCGAAATAAAGGAAAAAGAAGTGAGAGGTGAAGTAGAGACAGTAGAGGTACACCATCTCAATATAGATACACTATCGCACTATAACAGTAGCGCGTACACGCTCGCGTTGGCACACGCGCACGATTCGGTACTTACATAATTCGCGCGTGTTACAAGTAGTAACGCGGGTAGCCGACATGCAATCCGCTCATTCTTTCGCGGTTGGAACTGATTGCATCTAAGATACGGGCCAGGCGGTTTGCCCATAAGAATACGTCAGTACAAACAGCTCTAAGAAAATAGACCACTCCTTCGCTCTGTAGCGCGCGAAAATCACCTTTTAACCTGAGATGTAATATCCACTTCAGTTAACTATATCTTCAAATTGTCTTGATATAAATAGAGTTGAGAGAGATGGAAATAGCTTCACACTTATATATTCTATTTCTTGTTTAATTTCCATATATACAGGGTGTTTCCAAATTAAATGGCAAAACTTCGGGAGCGTGTAGAGGAGTAAAAAACTAAGAAAAAAAGTCCTATAGACATATGCTCCTTTTTGCTTTGTTTCGCAGGAAATCACGAAAAAAGAAAAAAATATATTTAATTTATTATTTTAATTATTTTATTTATAAACTTTTTAATGAAGATTTTGTTCGAAATGTGCACCTCTTGCAGCAATACAAG